GAAGTGCCCGAAGTGGCCAGCGCGCAAGAGGGCACTCAGTAGCAGAGGGCAGTTGTGCACACAGCTGCTCCCAATGACTGAAGCAACGAGCAGGGTTCCAAGCAGGCTGCACCCTGGACTCCAGAAGGAGTCTCCTGCCCAGCTGCCTCTGGGATTGCTATAGGTGGGCCACGCCCCGCTGCTTCCTCCTGATTGGCGGATGGCTACATCTAAAAAAAGCCTAATACATAGAATATTCCTTCCCGAACCCAAACTTGTTGCCAAACCTGTACATTTCCCAGCTGAGATACATCAGCATTTAACAACGTACCTACTGAAGCTTAAAGCAAACTAATGTCCACCTCTAACTCTCAGTCCAGGTAGACTGGAATCCTCCAGATTAAACCCTGTTGGCTCAATTCCATATGAAATCTCAACCAGTCCAAAGGTTCGTCAGAGCTTGTGCTCATCACTAGCTGCAGGGGTAGGAAGTAGTCGTCTGGTCTGACTAGGAATTGGGAAGGAAGGCAAAAGATTGTAAGATCTTTGGGGCAGGGACCGTCTTTTCGTTCTGTTTGTACAGCACCTAGCACAATGGGGTTTTGTTCCATCGTTGGAGCTCCTCGGAGCTCCTGCAATACAATAATAACAATCAGCAAGAAGCTAGCAGTTTACCCTCTCAAGACGGACCTACAGTAGCTGAAAGCTTTTTCGTTTGTTAATAGGAGAGAGAGGGTGAAAATAGCTTTGGGGAAGTCTGAGTCAAATAATTATCAATGCAGCTCCCTGAACTAATTACTGGTATCTGCCTGTTGTATAGGCTGGTGTGCATTTTCACAGATCTGTACTAGAACCAAGGCTGTGATACAAAGGGCTAGACCAGCATGAATCTCAGAATACCGTTAACCAAGATGGCCCTTCTCTATTATAGAGCAGTGGTCCACAAACTTTTTACCTCATGCGCCCCCTTACCCCTGGTCTGCCCCCCCCCCACCGGAGCTGGGGGACATGGATGGGGTAAGGGGCCTGAGGCTTTGCCACGGGAGCCGGGGTCCCAAGCCAGGAGCAGAGCTGGGTGGTGCTCCCTCTCTGCCCCCCATGGGGGCTGACCCAGACCCCAGCCATGCCCCCCAGAACAATCCTCCATGTCCGCCTAGGGGGCGCGCCCTACATTTTGGGGACCTCTGTTATAGAATGTGGTCAGTTGCAGAGCCAAGATTCAAGCTGATGTAAAATGTTCATTAGGTTCAGTTGCTATAGATACATACGTTCAATAAAGCAGTCATGTAAAAAACAGCTGGCTTGCATACGAGACCCTCCGATGCAAATTCATAAACCCTTGGGGAGCTGCTGTAATTCCCCTTTTTGCACAGGCAAGAGGAAGAGCCTGGGAATGAGGCATAGCCAGAACCAAATCAAACCGGTGGGCACGCCCTGTGCAAACTTCCTGCCAGAGAGCTCTGACTCAACGCCTCAGTTCTGACTTCGCAGCCTGTCATTTCAACCTGGGGGCTTTCTTCCCCCTATTGGAGACCACCAATAGCCCCATAACACAACAGGGCTTGAGGCGGCAGGCAAAAATCCAGTAGGCGCCTGGTTGAGATGAACAAATTCAAGTTTAATATTTGTGGCCTAAACCAAGTTTGATCTCGGATCTCCAGAGAAGACAGGCAAATAAGCCCCCCACCTCCACCCCCTGTCCTGGCTTTACAGCCAAATGTCAGATGTGTGCCAGAACAGAGGTGTGTGCCAGCTACGCACCTGGGACTCGCTGTGCAGCTGATCACTATACAAATAAACCTTTCATGAGAATTAACACATTAATTCCCTCCGTGAGCAAAATTAACAGAAAACTGAGAATTTGCCTAGGTTGTGGATTTTATTGCCCTTTATGCTAATTAAACTAGTATTTCACAAGCCAATTTCCTTTGTAAAAAGCAGCTTCCTGTTTTCTCTCTCTCCTGTGGCTTTATCACCTATATGTATCTTGGCTATGATCTTTATCTAAATAAGGACTGGAGACTTTATGGCAAGCAATGGAAGTATTTCTTCTGTCTTGGAAGAAGGTCAGAGAGAGAAACTTGGGGAGGGAGGGAGGGAGGGAGGATCTGGCTGCAGCCATTTCTCCATGCAACTGGCGGATGGTGCAGAGGGCTACTCGCTGCCCTAGATAGCATCTGAACACATGGGTCTACATGGCTGTTTACAGCTGGCATGGTGTTAGAACGGAGCTTTGCATTTCCGAATGTAGCACAGCCACGATATCAAGTCCTCCACCCCCTTAGTCAGAGCGCTCAAAGAAAAAACACATGCTCTGGGGCAGTTCCATTTATAGGGCAATAAAAGTCCTTTTAGTAAGTGGGAAGAACAGCTTGGACTAAGTTCCATGAAGAACAGAGAATTTAAAAAAAGGGAGTCACAATAAATACCACAGAGCAAGCATGTCAGGTCAGCAGGAGAAAACCACATTCAGGAGCCACTGACCTTCCCCTACAAGATACCACACAGTGCAAGTAGAAAAGCTGCTAGAAACAGGCCGCTTTAACTTCCCTTTCAATTTTAGCCACAACTGCTGCCCCGTCTGCTCCAGGCAAACCCCGGCAATGGGGCCCTTTATCCTCTGTCGTGGCCACACACGTGACGGTGAGTCTGGGGTAACACAAGGAGCCATTTCCTCTCTTCTGTTTAAAATCATGAAACTAGCTCTGCACAGCAACTTTTCAATAATAAAGATACATTTCAACTTTTTTAGGATCACCTTACGGTATAATCCCTGTTTTACAGAAGGGGAAACAGGCACATACTGGTAGAAGTTCAGCAGTTTGACCAAGATCACATAGGATCTGTTTTCCAGAAGAGGTAAGTATACGCAGCTCCCATTAGCTTGGAGTCACGGAGCTCAGTCCAAAGCCTGTTAGGGTATGTCTACACAGCAAAGGAAAATCTGCAGCTGGCACGTGCCAGCCAACTCAGGCTCGCAGGGCTGTTTCATTGCTGTGTAGACAACAGGGCCTAGGGTGACCAGACAGCAAATGTGAAAAATCGGGACGGGGTGGGGGGTAATAAGAGCCTATATATAAGAAAAAGTCCCCAAAATCGGGACTGTCCCTATAAAATCAGGACATCTGGTCACCCTAACAGGGGCCCAAGATCTGGGACCTCCCACCCCACAAAGTCCTAGAGCCCAGGCTCCAGCCTGAGTCTGGAAATCTACACAGCAATCAAACAGCCCTGCAGTCTGAGCTCTGAGTGTTGAGTCGGATGGCACAGGCCAGCGGCAGGTTTTTCCTTCGCTGTGTAATCACACCCTAAGAGGTGGACCCAAGAATTTTCAACTGAAAGTTTTTGCATTTATTTTTTTTTGGTTGAAAATTTTCACAAAGGTTCCCCCCCCTTTGTGGGTGTCAGAGAATGTTGATTGGATAGTGAAGTCATGTGACTTAAAAACACTGTGAACGCTGACAAAGCCACCACGTTTTAACTCGACTGTAGTCAAATTGCATTGTAACAAAGTTGAGCAAAGCAAAGCGTTGTTAGAAGAGCATTCAAAATTCATGCTCTAAACCAGTCTCCTGGAGCCATTATGGACAGGGCCAGACTGTGTTTGATCATGTTAACAAGCAGTGCCCAGGCCCGGGCAGAGCACATGTTTTTAAACACGCTTGGCCCATGAGTTAAACAAGAAAGAGGTGATAGAGCGCAACCTCCCCCACTCTGCAAACAGCAGCAGATGTCCTCTCCCGGGTTTGGGGGCACCGCGCTCCCCTTCAACTCCCACTCTTCTTTGGCTCATGCTTCAATCTACTTTAACTACTGGTTGGACCCCACCCACATCAGTGGCAAAGTCAGACTCCATTACAGGTACAAGAACCCCTTTCAGCCACAACTGCATTTAACACATCCCTAAATGTACGTGGTTTTCAATTTGACTGCTTATAGCCTAAGTGAAGGGTGGAAAACGTATGCAAGGATCTCCCTGGAGCATTAAGCTAGACCCAAGTAGACAAAATGCAATTATGCACATTGGAATTCAGTTCAGGCACAAACACAGGGTAGCATAACATTACGTATGAAGGCTAGACACTAGGGTTAGCTAACAGACAAGCAGGGTTGAGAAACAAGGGAAGAGAGAGATCTGCTTTTGCCTGTAAATGTGCAGTTGTTAGAAGAGGCAAGACTTTCATGCTCTTGCCCCCTTCCACTCATCTCAAGTAACAGACACACTCCACTTGCAGACAAAACCTGGCTGCTGTAGTGTAGCTTGGTTTTATTTATGTCCACAAATATTTCAAAAAAATTACAAAATACTCAAATGGAGAGAACACAGAAGTCACGATTTCTGGGTTTCTACTCTGTTTACACTGTGTTATCCCATGGCAAACTACTCATATATACATTAAGCTTCAAGATATATATAAATGTAGCAGTCAGAATGTACACTCTGCTTTAACGGTGCAGTGAAACAAGCTCAACCATGACGACATAGAACAAGAGACGTTTCAGAAACACTAAAGCAAAATAAAAAAAATCTTCAAAACAGAGGAAAAAAATGAGAGAGATTTCTGAAAGGAAACCAAAAGGTCTGGGTTATAACAACAGGGCATCGAACACCAAGATGGTTTCAAAAGCCATTGCAAATAAAGCTGTAGTTAATCATTGGATTGAGATGGAAGAATCTCAGGGCTTCTTTGTGCCACGATGTCAGAAACATAAAAGATTCTACTGAGCTGCAAAAAAAAGATCAAGGGAAAGCTTTTTGAATAGGGATTGCAAAGCACTACTTTGTTCTTTGGAAAAATGGAAGGAGAGAGAAAGGACAACATGAAGGAATCAACATCTTTCTACAAAAAAAAACCCAACACACCAAAAAAACCTGAAATAGGGAGGCAGCCTCATGTGCGATAGGTGGTGGTGTCATGCCTGCCCTTCCCTCTAGACGGTGAAAAAAAATTGAATTTTGATGGAAATTTACTTAAATAAAGCCTTCGGTACATTGATGTTTTTTCTTTGTTGGCCAGGGAAATGTTATGAGCACCTCTGCCATGATCCTTGCTGGATAGGTGTTAAAGTTGTTTCACCCGACAACCATAGACAGAGACTGGAAGTAATGTACAAATATTATCGTTCCTGGTTCTAGGGTGAATCTCTTGGTATCCAAGCCGGAGAACTCCCAGGTGTCAAACACTGGAGTCTTGGCAGACAGGAGTTCACAGAGTTCTGATGGGACTGACTCACTCTAAGGAACTGAAATGGCATTAAAAGGAAATTGGAATGAAAGAATGAACAAAGAGATGAGATGGAACTGAAACAAGCCTTCCTCCCCTGGACACACACGCTACATTAAGCCTGGAATTCCCTGATGCAGGTTTTAATTAATAAATCGGTGCCATTACCTACCTGTCAGTGCAGCCAAGAGTAGCAAGATGGTAATGTTGGTTTCTGCCCTGTGTGGTGGTGAAGCACCATTCATGCCATGCCTTCCACAAGGCTGAATGATTAACTACAAGTTTATCTAACATGGCTCAATACAGTCCTATGACATGACCACCACATATAACAGTCTACCACAGCAGAGCTACAGCCCTCAAGAGTTAAGAGAGAGAATGGAAGAGGTTATGTACCAGTAGAAAACATGGCCAGCAGATGCAGATGTTCTCTGGATCCGCCACCTTCTGCCTTATCAAAAACATGGCTAATGCAACAACAAAAAGATGGTTTTGGGGTGTGTGTGTGCACACGCAAGAAAGATGTGCATCTTGGCTTAGGCAGCGAGCAAAGCTATCTACAAAAATATATGCCTATTCTTCTACTGTGTGCACCCTCTCTCCTTTGCCATATCAGCCCTGGAGACACATGGGCAAAGTTCTTCTTCCAGCCAATCTGGGCCATTCAGCATGAACCAGTTGTGTTGGGAGTCAGCAATACTCTGACTAATACCTCTGGCTAATCTCACAGCAGCAGGTTCCTTGATACACAAACCCTTTAAGACAGGTTAGGAAAAAAAAACCCAAAACAAGCAGCCTTCAGTAAGAGACAGGTTACATTTAGATTATTGGTGTTTGTGAAAGAACTTTAAAAACAACTCTGTAGTCCAATTGTCTAGTCTCTCCTTAGAAATATGTAAAACAAAAGCCAGAGAAAGTGGGCCCCATCCAAAAATTCTGCCCACATAAACCTGACTTTAATAGTTTGAGCTACACATCATATTTAAAGGAAGATATTACTTAGAATTTTTGCTACTAATTGCTAAAATTTAAAGAGATACCTTAACACAAATTTAGCGAGACAATTGTTTTTAAAAGACAATAGAAGGAGGCAGATTACAGCCAAATTTAACAATAACCTCTATGTTAGAGACAGAAAGGGCAAGCCAGTTCCAAGGGACATCTGTACTGCTGAGAAGCAGAACTCAACAAAAGTCATCTGCAGAATGGAAAGATATAATGATAATGGGGAAAAAAAACAGAACAGAAACAGTCATTTGTAACATTATCCCTGCAACTGCCTTTAATTGCTACCAAATCAAATTTCAAGCATTTGCCCATTTGAAATTATTGACACCCATCATTTCCCTTTAATTAAAGGGATAATTATATATATTTATTTTTATTAAAAATCAACTCTGTATTCTGTCACTACCAGGATTTGTGATGTTACTGAAAATCAAGATTGTTATGTTTGTGGAGTTTTGTTATTTTTCCTCCCCAACCACCCAAAACATTATTTACAGACTTAAAAAGCCATGCTGAAGAACTGAGCTCTCTTTAAAAGTATGAAGATTTCCTACAATGTATTAAAATAAAAGTAATTTTTTTATTATTATAGCACTTGGATTCAGAGCTTGTTATGCCACCTACTTGCAATCCTTATTTTTTTCTGCTTTTAATATATATATATATATAGATGCATTGAGTGTCTCTTCACGCACAGTGACTGTCGTGTTGTGAACCTGATTCTAGCACCTACCCAAAATCAATCAAACAAAAACAACCCCCCCAAGATTGCAGGGTAGTTCTCTGAGAATTCCAAACAGTCCTGTATTTTCAATAGGCTTCTGAATAGGTGGTCATGCAGGGAAGCCCACACCAGTCTTGAGAAATCTTCTCTACAAATGAACACTATTTATGCCAGTAAGTCTTTAGCTGTTGGTAGGGGAGGTGGGTGTTTTCTTTAGATTTAAATATATAAAGAAATCTTTATAAGATATTCTTTTGCAGCTCTTATTGTATGTAAAAAATGTTCCATTCCTTCCCAAGGACTGGGGTTTCCATAGCCGGCATTACAAATAAATAATTTATTACAACTGTTTGTCACCTTCTTTCTTCAGTCGACTGAAAGAGAAAGAAAATGTGTTTTAGCGGACAAAGGGCATGTGGCTTGGTGCCTCAGCAATACGTTGCCTTTTGATACTAGCCTCACTGCAAACTGGGAGGGTAGGGGAGGGGGCATCACAGTGCCACGAAAGGGACATGGGTGGGGGCAGGAGGTCTGATTTCTCAAAGTGAATGGGGAACCAGCATGGTAACAAGCAGTGAAGAACACAGTCGGTCACGGGAGATGATGTGCTTTGTTTGTCGGGGTGTTCTGTACACTAGCGACATTACCACTGAGACAGCAGGTGCCAGCAAGCAGTGCAGCTGAACTGGTGCTGATCATGCTTTGCCCATCCACACTTGCAGCTAAACCATGTTCAGCATCAGGTCAGCTGCCAGTACTGTCACCTGATGTGACAACAGGTAATTTTCCAGAGCACAGACAAGGTTTGAGACGCCAAAGCAAAAGGGGCATGAGGCTAGCACATGCCAGGCTGCTGCTGAGCCATCCTCGCTATGAAGCAACACAAAGAGTGGACCTTGCTGGATGCCGTAGGTGGCGATTCCCTTTCTGCAGATTGCCAGCCGCCATTGCGAAAACAGAAACCAGAGGTGTTCCAGTGAAGGCAAATGGGGGAAAACCATCGCAGTACAATAATTTGGGAGAGGAGGAACTTGCATGACCGGTCGAGATCTGCTCAGCCATTCGTCCAGCGTCTGTATTAGTTATGCTTTCATCAACCGTTGCCCATCAATAATTTGTTCAGATTTACTTGCTGGTGAATTCCTCTCTTATTTCTGTTCATAAGGTTTTTTTTCTTCACGGGGAGGAAGTGGGGAAATAGCAATCATAATGAATGTCACTAAAAGCAAAGCTAATTCTGCAGATCATGACACAGCTAGTTTATTCCTTACGCCAATTATTCTGGTCTAGTTTCCAAAGTCTGTCCCATTCTCCTGTGACGAAGTGGGAATGTTCTTAATGTTTTCGTTGAATACGGTGTGTGCATGCCTCAGTTTCCCCTATGTATTACTCAAGCATCTAGGTGGTGTGATCATTGCAGAGATTCCCAGAGGGCAGGTGTGACTGCTGACTGGCTGACAGGCCATAGAAAATGACCGACACTCTGTGTCCTGGCAAATGATGGCCAGGCCCCCTTCTCTGCAAGGAACTAGTAGACGGTGTTGGAGAACAAAGAGACTAGGTGACCTGTTGGCCTGGGAAAGAGACAAAGCCCAGAGGCAGGGCAGGTGGCAGTGACTGAAGCTGGGCTGCTGGAAACTGGTCAGTCTCCTGTTTTGGGACTCAGGGGGGGAAACCCAGGGCTCTGAGCTCTGGATCCCCCCCAAGCTGGATTCTGCTGACTGTTCCTGATTTCTGTGCTAACAAGATCTGTTCTACACTGTGTTCTCATTGACTAATAAACTCTTCTCTTTTATACGCTGGCTGAGAGTCACTGCTGACTGCGAAGCGGGGTGCATGGCCCTTTTGGGGTGTGTAAGGCTCCCCAGGTGTCCATTCCAGGTGGACTCACCGCGGGATGCTTACTGTATGAACAGGGTGCTGAATACTCTGAGGCCAGACCCAGGAAGCGCTGAAGCAAGAAGGCTTCTTGCCCTGGTGAGAGTGTGCCCTGAGGGGGGAGACACTGCACCACAGTCCTCCCTGACTTCATTCAGAGCACCGAGACTGTGACGCCGTGACACTTCCACACCAAATTAGCTTTTTCTGAAGCTTTATCTCCAAGCATGTTAAGGTCACACTGACCACATGTATGGGCTGCAGGGAGGGGACCCCTCAGGCGGAAAAATTCAGGGAAATAGTAACAGAGCTTCTAGCTGCATCTCCATTGCATCTCTCACCTGTAATAATCTTCCTGACTTGGTAGATGCCCACCGTGCATGTGGGGATGCCCGTGCAACCACTGCTGCTCCATAGCCAGTCTTTGCAGCTCTGCTGACTGGGCATGCATGGCCTGCAGTTGATGGGCTGCTGACATTGGAGGTGGGATAGCACCAGGCAGATCTCGTGGGTAGGGGGTACCTGCAAGAGACATCACATTTATGTCCTTTACAATCATTAACTGGTTCTCATTGCCCTGCAAGGTATGTAAAGCAAAGCATTATCCCCCCACATTCCCATTTCATAGATGGGGAACCAGATGCGCTGAGTGGTTAAGCAACTTGCCCAAGGTTATACAGCAAATCAGTGGCAGAACTGGGAATTAGAATACTGATTTCCAGTCTGCCCACTGTTCATGGCTTCCCTAAAGCTGCTACTAGGATTCAGTTCCAGTGGATGTATTAGCAATGAAACAGGAGGTCTCTAAAGAGTTGTAACATAAAAACGTTCAGTTTAAAAAGCAATGATGAGAGCAAAAGCGTAAGAATTAAAGCTCCCAATTCCCTCCACTGCACATTTAGACCCAGAGGAAAGTGTTCACAGCTCAGAGCAAAGTGCTGCCTAGAGGAAGGTCAGTGAAATGTTCTCACCGAAGACCGGGTGTCGGAGCATTTCATGCTCGTGTGGTGGCTGCCCTAGCAGTGGGTTGGGGATGGTACCAGGCGGGTAGGGAAAACGTGCCAAGTGGGGTCCAGCTGCCAAGGGATCCACCAGCGGGTGAACAGGTCCTGCTGAACCTAGAAAAGAAGATAAAAAGGAAGGTAACCAACTGCTTGGGGAAGCCTCACCGTTTGGGGAACAAAAGCCATGTTACCGCTTGAGCTTGTGCAGTATCTGGCTTAATTGGTGTGTAATTATCTGGAGCTTAGCTCCATCTGACTTGAAGCCCACTTCTCTATCTTCAAGTGTTTGAAGTGACATCTGCTTGCCAAACAGTCTTAATTGTTGAAGCAACAACTCATGGCTTTCCATTTCAATAAGGAAAAAGAAATCTACCAAGTGATGGGAAAAATCAAATAGCAAAACCACTTACGCATTCATTGTTAGCAGCCTCCTTCTTCCCCACTACACACACACCGAGGCAGAATCTCATGCTAATACCGTTAAACCGCAAAATTTCTCTTTTCAGAAGTTTATAAGAAAACGCTGGCTGTAAATATCTTCTTGCCTTCCACTAGCACATAAGTACAAGTCAAAGGATCACTGACAATCCTCAGGTCAAAAGGGCTTAACAACTGAGCACCCTCAGAATACTACTCTGGACAGACAGGAAGCTCTCAAACCCTCTATTCCCCAAATCAGACAGTGTCAGCTCCAGGGAGCTGCCAGCCTTGTACAAAAGGGAAACAACCACCCCCCTCCTTATTTGTCCTCACTTGTAGGCAATTCCTCTAATGTCACTTTACTAAGAGGATGAAAACATGACACTGATGAAACCATGACAATATTTACCCACCAGTGCATGGCAAATCCCCTGCATTTAATCCGCTAGAAGTTTGCATGGAGATTGCATATTAGCAGAAAGCAGTCTCCCATGGTCATTTCAATCCCAATACTCCTCCTGTTTCTAAGCGCACACATGCAGACACACACCCCCCCACACCCTCTGTAAGAATAGTGCAATATGAGTAACTGATGTCAGTGCTGCCCATCATTCAGACTGACTCCCTACTTTCCCTTCCTTCCTTGAGCTGCTAAGATCTTAAATCTGAAATAGTGCACACCCTGGGGCATAGTGCTTCAGCGACTTCATTTCAGTAGCTCACTCAACAGTATAACTGCCCTTTGTGGGTTGCACCAGAGTTTTCTAGCTTGATTTAGTGGAGTGCCCATGCACTTGAGGAAGCTAACAAGTCTGTAAAGGCTGGTGAACACTCCAGGCCGGGCCTTGCGGGTACACCACAAACGTGTGCGTCCTGGAACAAACACTTGTAGAGTGTCCATGCTGGCTGGCCTTAGCAAACGCGTTAGCTACCTTCGAGTTAATAAGCAATCAATTAATTGAAGATAAAAACCGTGTGTAGACATGCTCTGTGTCAGACACTTATTTCTTCTCCTTTAAAAGTTAACATACTTCAGCACTCAAGTGTCTGTAGTCATAAAGTCAATTCAAATTAACCCTATTCTTCATTTGCAAAACTTCAGTCCAAACTATGTCAATCCTGCCCCATTACAATCCATAAGACTTGATATTTGGTGCAGTCCATCCTCTGACCTCCAGAGCAGCGCACATAGCATGCGGAACACAGTGCAAGTTCCACCTAGTGCCTTTAGGTACTGCATCAACACAACCAATTCCCAGATACATTACTACCAAAATACAACTGCGTATCATTTGCCTTCTTTGATGCACACACTGGCTCTTTCTGCAATAGCTCTCAAATTCCCTTCCTAACCCAGGAAACAGAGACACCATCTATTTTTAATTCACATGCTCCAAGACTCATTATGCTATATTTGCTTGCACAAGTACATCTGCAGTACGTTTGTCCCGGGAACTGTACACCATGTACTTGAATCGCTTTCACTTCTGACCTTGCTGCTGAATTATTTGGCGCCTTATTTAACCTTTCTCCACCAGTTTGCTATCAGAATCTGTGGAAATCTTCCTTTGGTTGCCCATGTTCCAAATCCCCGATGTAGTGACATCACTCATAGCTACTCAGCCAAATGAGTGACTTTCCAGTCTCTTTGTCTTGACACCTAACAAGATACCAAGTTATTTCACCAATCATTTCTGGGATCTAAAAACAACATTTTAGAACTAAGCACATTCTAATGAAGAAGGTCCCCAAGTTTATATGTAGGAACTTTCTGATAAGCGTGAAGGAATGTCTATTCCAGTTGCACAAGGCCCAAATGTTCGAGCTCTAGCAGTGCAGAAAGGCCGAAGAGGTAAAATCTCCTTCCCACATCCTTTTCACTGCAGCTACTACTATATACTGAGGTCATACCTCAGCACAGACTGCCAGTTTCTCTGAACGGTGCAGAGGTTTTGCATTATACTCACTAGACACTACGATTACACCAAAATTGGGTGTAAACTATGTGTTGGTAAGGGGACTTAAATTGCACACCAAGAGGGCAGAAGGGTGGGGTTGTAGCAACCAACAGGAGATGTCAGATTAAGAGAGCTGAAGTAGGGAGGTCTGCTTTATGTAGTCAGCACTATGGTGTTGGGTGTTGACACAGTCAAGACAAATAGATAAATGGGAGATAAAGGGAGCAGAGAATCACCACAGATGTCAACAAGAGGGCCAGAGGGTATGTCTACCCTGCAAATCAGGTGTAACTGTAGCACAAGTAGACATACTAGCCTAGCTTTAATCAAGCTAGCATGGGTAACAACAGCAGTGTAGGTGTGGTGGCATGGACTTCAGTGTGGACCGACAACCCGAGTATGTACTCAGGGTCCCTGGTGAGCTTGTACCGAGGCAGCTAGCCTGTACTACCACGCCCTCATTACTGTCATTACCCGCACTAGCTAGATTAAAGCTACAATTACACTTTAGTTAGCGATGCAGACATACCCAGAGCCTTGACGCCCTCCCTCCACGGGAATGAGGGAAGATATGCACCAGAAATCTGCCAAGGTAATAAGTGTAAAACTTCCCCTCTTCCCCCAGTGCATTCTGGGGGTGTTTTTCTTTTCTTTTTCGCTCCTTCCTCTGAAGCATCAGGAATGGCCATGGCTGTAGATTGGACACTGGAAGAGAAGGGCCAGAGCTCTGAGGAGGAACTGAGAATTCTCTCAGGTGCTTGGCTGGCTGGTTCTTGCTCACAGACTCTGGGTCTAACCGGTCATCATATGCGGGGTGAGAAAGGAATTTTCCCCCCAAGTCAGTCTGGCAGTGACGTTCCTCTGCAGCGTGTGGTTGTGGGATTTTTCATAAACCCAGCAGTTATATAAAAACATCGACTAAACTTACCCATTTACATCTCCCCACATCTCACAGCCCGACCACAGCCCTTGCTAATTTTGAAAGGCCTCCTATTTAACACCATCATTTTGGTTTTGGATGCTTAATTGGCACTATTATCTTCCACTTCCGATCGCCTTAATCTCTGATCACTGCACATCAATATGCTGCTTATTTGGCAGGACACATGCTAACTTACTGCTTATCACTGGTGTTATCTCCTTATCCTCATTTCCCAAACATCCTCCTCCCCAGACAGCCTGCGGTTTGCTATCATCACTCTATTGGCAATTACCCTTTGATCCATCGGAAGGTGATTTATGCGCTCACTTCGGTTTCTCCCAAATTTGCTGTCGCTTTATTTTATCTCCACCCTAACTAAGTTTGGAAAATAGACCGACATCCATGGCAATGTCCTTCACATCAGAGAGAGCGGTCACTTTACATGAAAAAAGGGATGCAGACTTGTCCTGTTTGTCTCACCCGAACGTCTCATGGGCAACGGCTTGAACCACCACCAGAGAGAAAGCAGGTGCACGCCCCACACCCACCCACACTTTTATCATGCAATATTTTAGTAACCAATTGTTTTAAATTCACTCTGGCTCAACAACTCCAACCCTCCGATTTTCCAGCCTGAGACAGCTAGAGAGCTCATTGATGTCTAGGTGCTAGTATTCAGCGTGTAGCGCTCTCAATGGTGTGTGTACCAGGGTATGAACTACTAACCTGGGTACAAAGGCATACAGGGAGCAGGAGTTTTAACCACTGTGTCATATGACAAGTGCCTGCATTCAGTCTACACTAGTGCTGCCACTGCTGGTTGGGCTGCACCAGTTCTACACCAACAGAGGGAAAATTTTGGACAAAGCCTTAGTGCATGAAGAGTTACTGGCTGCTGAAAGCTTGCCCCGTGCTCAGTGACGAACTGATCCAATCCTAGTACAGGGAAGGGTTAAATATGTGGGTGTAAAATACCAAGGTTATTACAAGGGAGGCCTGTGCCATTTATACAGAGACGAAATGCCTAAAATAAAAAAAGAATCCTATTATTTAAACAAGGTTGTGTCCCAGCTGCATTGTGTTGTGGTTTCCCTTTGCCTGCGTGGACAAGAAAAAGCAGGTGTCTATGAGATCAAACACAATTATAACTATTTCTATCCACAGGGTGTAGAGATAACAATGTTATTCAGGGTGGGGCCACACCCGTGTGTCACAACCTTGTATAGACCTGGATACGGTTGTCACGCAGACACAGCTGGAGATTATGCTGTGCATAGTTCCCGAGTCATGGGATACGACCCCATGAGTTGGGCAGAAGGCTCTTGGATCTGGTACTATTAAATATTTTCATTAATGAATTGGATAAAGGAGTAAAGAGTATGCGTATAAAATATGCAGATGACACTAAAATGGGAGGGGTTGCAAGCATGTTGGAGGACTGGATTAAAATACAGAACAACCTTGACAAATAGGAGAATTGGTCTGAAATCAACAAGATGAAATTCCATAAAGATAAATGCAGAGTACTACGCATAGGAAGGAAACAAATCAAACGCATAACTACAAAACAAGGAATAACTGGATAGGTGGTAGGTAGCACTGCTGAAAAGAATCCGGTGGGTATAGTGCAGGGGTCGGCAACCTTTCAGAAGTGGTGTGCCGAGTCTTCATTTATTCACTTTAATTTAAGGTTTCGCGTGCCAGTAATACATTTTAACGTTTTTAGAAGGGCTCTCTCTGTAAGTCTATATTATATAACTAAACTATTGTTGTATGTAAAGTAAACAAGGTGTTCAAAATGTTTAAGAAGCTTCATTTAAAATTAAATTAAAATGCTGATCTTATGCTGTCAATCTGCTCAGCTCACTGCCAGCCTGGGGGTCTGTTCACCTAGGCCGGCAGCAGGCTGAGCGGGGCCTGCAGCCGGAACGCTGGCTGGCAAGGGGCCAGCAGCCGGGACCCCCAGATTGGGAGGGGGGCGGTCCAGGGGTCAGGACAGAGGGCTGGGGGCGTGGGAGGGTGCAGGGCAGAGGGCTGGGTGTGTGTGGGGTTCAGGGGTCAGGGAAGAGGGCAGTGGGGATGTGGGGGGGTCAGAGCAGAAGGTTGTGTGTGTGTGGCGGTGCAAGTGGGGGGTTCAGGGGTCAGGGCAGAGGGCTGGGGTCTGTGGGGGTGCAGGGCAGAAGGCTGGGTGTGTGGGGGGGGTTCAGGGTGGAGGGGTGGGGTGCTCAGCTCGTGGGGGTGCTCCCAGCCCCCTGCCCTGAGCGGCTCATGGCAGGGGGCTGGAAGGTATATGCCCTGTTCCACCCCCTTCCCCAAAGCCCCATCCCTACCTCTTCTCTGCCTCCTCTATGGAGCAGTGAGCACGCTGCCACTCATCCACCTCCCCCTCCCCCTTGCAAGGGCCATCAGCTGATTGGCGGCAGGGAGCAGGAGGGGGAGGAGGAGGGGCAGGAAAGCAGCACGCTGGGGGACGAAGCGGGGGAGGAGGAGGGAAGCTTGGCTACCGCAGGACCAAGCTTCTGCCTCCTGCACCCGCAGGGGAGAGTGGTGGGCGAGGGGGCTGAGTGGGGCTGGGATGGCGGCAGGCAGCAACGTGCCACTCAAAATCAGCTTGCGTGTCGTGTTTGGCACGCGTGCCGTAGGTTGCTGACCCCTGGTATAGTGCATCACAAATTGAATGAGTGTCAACAATGTGATCCAGTTGCAAAAAGGCTAATACCATTCTGAGGTGTACGAACAGGCATTTGTATGTAAGACACGACAAGTAATTGTCCCACTCTACTCAGCAGTAGCGAGGCCTCAGCTGGAGTACCTGTGTCTAATTCTGGATGCCACAATTTAGTAAAGATGTGGACAAATTGGACAGTTCAGAGGAAAGCAACAACAATGATAAAAGACTTAGAAAACCTGACCTCTGAGGTAAGGTTTAAAAAACTGGCCATGTATAGTCTTGAGAAAAGAATCATAGAAGATTAGAGTTGGAAGAGACCTCAGGAGGTCATCTAGTCCAGTAGGTCTCAAACTTTTTCACAGGCGACCCATTTTTCACACCAAGCCTATGAGTGTGACCCCCCCTAATACATTAAACACACTTTTTAATATATTTAACACCATTATAAATGCTGGAGGCAAGCGGGGTTTGAGGTGGAGGTTGACAGCTCATGATCCCCCCATGTAATAACCTCATGACCCCCTGAGGGGTCCTGACCCCCAGTTTGAGAACCCCTGCTCAAAGCAGGACCAACCCCAACTAAATCATCCCAGCCAGGGCTTTGTCAAGCCAGGCCTTAAAAACCTCTAAGGATGGAGATTCCACCACCTCCTTAGGTAACCCATTCCAGTGCTTCACCACCCTCCTAGTGAAATACTTTTTGTCTACACTGCAAAGTTTTTGTGCAACAAGTTATACCACTTTTATTAAAGCGCTGGAATTAAACTGCTGTTGCGTGTGCACACTGTGCTCCTTGGGATGGTGGAGCGCATCCACATTAGCAGCTCTTGCAACGGCAAAGAGAGCAGTGCATTGTGGTAGCTATCCCACTGTGCAACTGGCTGCAGGGTGCTTTGGGAAGGGCTTGCAATGCCTCATGGAGGAGGCACAGTGTCACATGATGCAGATTTCCCAATCCCATTGTTCCACGAACATCCTACTACATTGCCAGCTGCTTTTCAACTGAAAGGGGGGGTGGAGAGTGTGTGTGACAGGAGTGTGTGTGTGTATGGGGAGGGGGGAAGAGAGACTGTGTTTTGGGGGACAGAGAGTGGGTCAGCATGCTGTCTTGTAAGTTCAGACAGCTGCAGGAAGCAACCAGTCCTGAGGCAGGGGAGAGGAAAACCCCACATCAGCCCCCACCTCCCTCCCCAGCAATCTCTCTCTCTCACACACACCCCTCCCTTGTGTTCAATAGCACGAGCATTCCACAATAATGGTTTGCTGTGTGTCCTGGAACAGATCAGCACAGCCCGCAATGGCTGTCAGAAACGGAGCTTTGAAAGGGGAGGGGCGCATGCCTTCAGGACAGCCAGTTCAAAACAATGAACAGAGCGGCCACTTGAGGGATTATGGGACACTTTTAGAGGCCAATTACAGCCTTGAAAGCAATTGATGTGTTTATACTGGCAATGTAGTGCAGGAGCATTGTGGAGATGGTTTTTTTTGCAATGCTGCAACTGAGGAGTTTCTGCACACTAAGTGGGTTGGTAGCGTGTACACCTCAGGAGTTACACTGCTTTACTGCGTAGTAACTTGCCCGTGTAGACAAGGCCTAATATCCAACCTAGACCTCCCCCACTGCAACTTGAGACCATTGCTCCTTGTTCTGTTATCTGCCACCAATGAGAACAGCCGAGCTCCATCCTCTTTGGAACCCCCCTTCAGGTAGTTGAAGGCTGCTATCAAATCCCCCCTCACCCTTCTTTTCTACAGACTAAATAAGACCAGTTCCCTCAGCCTCTCCTCATAAGTCATGTGCCCCAACCGCTGAATCATTTTAGTTTCCCTCCGCTGGACTCTCTCCAGTTTGTACACATCTTTTCTGTAGCGGGGGAAGACAGAGGCAACCTGACAGTATTCCAGTATGTTAAGGAATATGATAAAGAGGATTGGGGCCAGTTGTTTCCCCATGTCCACTGAAGGTAGGATAAGAAGTAATGGGCTTCATCTGCAGAAAAGAGATTTAGGTTCGATATTAGGAAAACTAACTTTAAAGCTCTGTAATGGGCTTCTAAGGCAGGTTGGGGAATCCACATCATTGGAGGTTTTTAAGAACACCTGTCAGGGATGGTCTAGGTTTAGTAGTGCAGGGGGCTGGGTTGGGCTGGACTGGACGACCTCTCGAGGTTCCTTCCAGCTCTACATTTCTACGATTCTAGGATCTTACAAGAGCAGCAGAGGTCAGCATCCCTGAGGAAAGCTCTGGCTCGCTCCCTTGGCTCACCTTGATGTAGCGGGTCCTGCTGATGGAGGTGTAGATGCGAATGTATATGTGAATGTTGGTGATGGTGAGGCGTCACGTTGAACATCTGGAGCCGTGCCAGCGGGTCATTGGTGAGCGACGCCATCCGCTCGGCGTGTATTCTTTCTGCGGCCAGTCTGTCGGGGTAGCTCATTTCAGGCCGTAACTGGGGGCCTGCCAGCGCAAGCCTCTCCCTTTCAAGGGGGTTCAAACCCGGGTGGAAGGAAGCAAATGGATGGGGTCCAGCTGTTGGGGGTATAGTCAGTGCGCCGTGCCTGGCAAAATGCTCCATGGGATTGGTAGCCGGGTGCAGTGCATCGAGTTCGGGTGGTTTCACCTCAAAGCCTGGTTTCATCCTCTCTCGCAACTCCCTTTCCCTGATCTCGCGCTCCCGGATCTCGCGCTCCCGGAGCTCCCGTTCCCGGATGGTGGGGTCCACATTATAGAGGCCGGGCATGTGGTAGGCCAGGAGAGGATCGGTGGGGTTCAGGGGAACAAAGAATGGGTGGTTGCGGTTTGTTGGTGACATCACGTGAGGACGGGCGTACTCGCTGAGAGTCCGTAACGCAGGCGTGTCTGGACCTATGTAAGGTGGAACGGCGGCGATGGTTGTGGGTGGAGGTTCAAATGAAGGTCTCATGTGAGTTGGTCCAGTGAGCTGGGGCTCCCCAAGGCGACCTTCATGGGAGGAGCTGGACACTTTCTGCTGCAGAGAATGGGGGGAGAGAAGGGGAGAGATTTTATTCCAAACAAACAAACTCAGCTGAAAAAATTGCAGGCACATTCCCCCTTTCGCTGCAGCTCAGTACAGGGATAATCCTACACCCCCGCCCATGACACCCAGACTATGTCTAGTGCAGGGTGTTCTCTTGTGATGTGGGGAAGAACCTGATTCTCCCCTCCCCTGCAGGCCACCGAGCTCGGCACCTCAAAGCTCTAACAGCTGCAGCACTTGCACCTCCCCAAGCTGGGGGAATAGCTGCTGGGAACGTGTAGCCACGGACCCACAGCTTTCTCCCAAAAGCCTTCCCCCACGTGTGCTAGGATTGAGCAAGCCCCTGGAGAGCAAGGGTGCACAGCATGCGGGGGGGCGGGGAGGGAGGGAAGAACCCCTCATCTCCTGCACAGGGTCTCAGCATCCTGCCCCTACCGCCTGTGCAGAGGCAACAACAGTTTTGGGAGGGCAGAGGCGGGATTCACCCCAGTGTAATTATCCAAGGAAACCTGCCTCCAAACACAGCTCTTGGGTTAAAATCAAGTTTAGTATCAGCTTCAAAGTCAGACATATCTCCTATTAGCGGGGGGGGCGGGGGAAACGGGAGACGGACGACAACGACAGACTACATTCTGCCCTTCCAGGTGCAGGGACTGGATGGCTGTAGGCATCTTCCACTGCTAACTACTACAACTCTCCCTTAGAAAGGTGCACAAGCCTGGTAAAAAACCAGACTATAGTGTATTTTTTTTCCCAATTAAAACAAGGCAGTATCGCTGCATTATGACCGGTCTCCCTGCCCTCGATTATCTCTGCCCACACCACGGGGCTTTGTTTTTTAACTCCAAGTAAATTTAAAAAACAAAAAACAAACAAAAAACAAAACAAAACTCAGAAATTAGTGTGAAAGTTTGAATTATACACAGTTGGTGTTTCCTGAGAAAACTTAGGTATTCTTAAGTCAAACACATGTCAAAGGTACTAACTTCAAGGGAATTAACTTCAAAGGTACACTGCCTTCACCCTACCCCTTTCAGGGAGCTCCCCTAAATGGTACATCAGGCAACAGGCAAGGGATATGCTATGTACGCTCAGGCGTTCTGTGCCTGCAGCACAAAGGCAACCAACAGAATTCACCAACAGCTAATCGGTATTTACTGTTCCTTAGGACTTAGGTATCACTTTTCATCTTGAAAGTGTTTTATAGATATTGGGCCCCCCCGACTGCCTTGGCTTCTCTCAGTACAATAGGGGCTGCAGACCCACCAGGAGAAGATGTGCAGTACAGTAAGCTGCCTACAACCCCCTGTTCCACTACGGGGGGGAGCTCTGAAGCACTTGGGTGGGGCCAGTGCAGAAAGGGACAGGTACAAGCCAGCTATATGCGCCAATGGCATGCTCACAACCCAAAACATTTGCTTGCACCCACCCTCCAATGTCCCATGCTTTGCATGCACCCGACTGCCCCCTCCACGCCATGCTTGTGCCTGCAATAACCACTCTAATGGAGGTTTGCAAATGCATCCCCAATATTTTACAGTCATCGTTTAATACAGATCCTAACGTACCCATCCTGCACGGCAGACCGATAAACCTACCGCCGCTCTCTCTGCTTCTCTTTCACGCTCCCGCTCTCGCTCCCTCTCTTTCTCCTTCTCTTTCTCCCTCTCCCTCTCTTCTCTTGCTTTCTGCTCTGCCTCCCGCTTGGCCTTCTCGATTGCCTCCTCTCTCTTCTTGGCCAGTTTGGATCCTGCCAGAGGCATGAAGTACAGGTCTGTCCTTGCGCATGAGTTGTATCCACGATCCAGGTGCTTATAGAACCTGAGAGAGAAAACAGAGAATTTAGGCCTGGGAAAGAAAACGCGACTGTGATTTGACAACCTCACATCAAAGGGGAATTATACAACACTTTGGATTTACATTACCAGCTACTTCACTGAAAGCCCAGAAAGGAACTAACTTTACTGTGTGTTCCTCCTCCACAGACTAGCCTTCTAGCAGGAACCTCTCACAGATGGTACCTGCAATATCAATCGGAATACTATGGCTGACGCTGGGCTGGATAAGGGTTTTTCATTCCCTGAAAAACGGCGACCGAGTGAGGGGAGATTTCCAAAGGCACAAGTGGGAGATATGTACCCAGCGCCCGTGGTGCCCAACTTCCCTCTGTATCTTTGGAAATCTGCCCCGTAAGCTTCATCCAGGCAACTGAAATAACCATGTTTTTCAACACAAAAATAGGCTGCATGTTGGAGACTGAATATTAGGGGGCAGTGTAAAAAAATACCCGTAGAAAAATAAAGAAGGGATTCTGCACTGTATCAGGAGAGCAGTAAGCTTTGGGGGAGACTGTGTATAATTCCAGGGTTCCTGCCATACAATTCAAGGGCCCTGCTGCAAGTTTTAGAGGGGTTTGTGTGTGTGTGTGTGGGGTGCACAGGGTCTTACCTACAATGTGATTTAATACTTGAATGTCAGGTTAGGGAGACTACGCTAGTAACAACTCTATTCCAATATGAGCAGCGCTAGCAGAATTTCAGTGAGTGGGGACAGGCTCTTAGACAACTGTTCCATTGCCAAAGAGGTTGGCAAACAGAGGCTGCAGTACAGCAAATTCCCAATTCCAAGACTGTGGGTATCAAGGCTGTAATACTCAATCCCTGCTGGCCCAGCCAGCAAGCAAGCGGTGAACCTCTTAACGCAGCTCTGTGGAATGGCAGAACACAGTATGAAGCATCTGCCAACACCCTCCGTTACCTGGCTGATTGACTGGCATGACTCGGTGTGTCCACCACAGTAGGTTCAGGCGATGGGCTTCTGGGTGGGGGAGGTGGGCTTTCTGGTTCCTCTGCCTCATCGGGAGCCTCCTCTTTGATCTGAATAGGCGGTATTGCGCAGGACGTCACGACTGGAACGTTTCCACTGGAAGCCGCAGAGGTGGGGACAGATGTCTGAGATGGGACGCCAGGCACGGAAGGTGGTGTGGAAGTGGAGGGGCAGGATGGAGGAGTGATGGAAGGTGGGCCCCCAGGGACAAATGGATGCTGAGAAAAGGGTGCCTGGGAGGATACCTGATGGAGGCTGGATGGGGGGTGGCTCGCTGCTGGTGGAAGACTCTGACTCTGAGTCAGGACTGGAGGCTGGGCTGGAGAAGACTGCAGTGGCTGACTTTGAGGCATCAGCTGCAAGGGCGGAGGGTGCGCAGAAGGAGGGTGATGGGTGGAAAGGGAGCTCAGAGGTTTCAGAGCAGGTGGTGGCGGCAGGTTGGAATTCATGGAGAATGGAGACGGCCCGGAGAGGTGGGGAGGGTGCTTGTGGGACTGGGGAGTGGGAAGCTGAGGGATCGGGGTAGTCGGAGGGGGTTTGATGTGAGGCATGGCCATGGGTGCTGGAGGCAGGGGCTGCTCCCGAGGGGGCTGAGGTTGCTGCAGTGGAGCCTGTGCTTGCAGGGCAGGCTGCACTGCTTGAACCTGCAGAGCAGCGTGAGGGTGAGAAGCAGCCTGTGTCTGAAGGGGAACCTGAGACTGAGAAGGCTGTGAGGGGAGAGGGAAAGGCTGAGGAGGTACTGGGTGAGGCAGGAGAGGCTGGGCCTGCAGGTTATGAGGGACAGGCTGGACCTGGCCATGAAGCGGAGGCTGTGAATGTGGCTGCGACGAGGAAGGACCCTGGGGTTGACTCTGAGACACAGTCAAAGGCTGTAGCGGCGGGTGTGGTGAAGGGAGTCTCTGAGGGTGCAAAGCAGGGGCCTGCTGTATGTGAGAGTGAGGTGGCGGCGGTGCTGGGGGCTGGCTGGGAGGCTGAGACACTGATGGTGAAACCTGCAGTGGAGCGGAAGGGATGCTTGATACTGCTGGTATGGTTGTTGGTAACTGTGTTGATACGGGCGGGGTAGAAGGTGGAGCCTGGGCAGGGACATTCTGTGCCTGGAGCACTTGAGGTTGCGCCTGTAGCATCTGCTGCTGAGCAGATGAATCTGAGTCACTCTCATTGTCCTGGGGGCTGGGGATACTGGGTGACGTGCTTCGGTTGTCCTGGTCAATGTCCTTTGGATCACTGCTCCCGTCGTCATTGACGCTGCGACTATCTGAGCTTTCGCCTTCGCCCTCGCCCTCCGAGGGAGAGTTTGGCCTGCTGATCTCCTGTTGAGATGGGGGGAAAGGTCTCTTTATAATCACTGACATGGCTAAGGAGAGCTACCTGCTCCCATTGGTACTGCCAGTGTAACTCCAGACAACCTTGTTTATATGCTACATTACTGCACAGCCACCCCATAGCCTTCACTGTAAATAACCCCTGTGGTACAGGGGATGCCAGCATACAGGAGCGAGGGCTATAAAATCCCAGATCCAATGCTATGGGGTGAACCTGGCCAATTCCAAATGGACTAAGAATATCATGCATTAAATATACAACATTCAGGGACTCGCAGACTTAACTGGTTTCCTAGAACTTTTCGTTCAACTGCATCCCCCCAATTAAATTTCTATTTAAAACACAAGGCCTGAGAATGACTTCAGATTCTGTTAGGGTTACTGTGGCCAAGGACTCATGTTAATTTCAGACGTATCTGAAGAGGGCTCTCGCTTTGCTAATTTAGTATCATTTGGTTTCCTTCCAGTTTGTTGTTGAGAGGTACAGGGAAGAGAAAAAACTGATACTGAAATAAAATTTGGACACAGGTTAACAAAAACAAAAAAGCTAAAATCAAACTGTGCTAAGATCCTGGAGATACTAATGTGAAAAAAGAAGACACGCCTGGGCGTCAGTCCCTACCCATGTCCTTCCCTTCCTCTCCCTGCAGAAGGAATGCATTAAGAAGTGGGTTGCTTTCCAGCCACAGATTAAATTACAATTTGCTGTTCTGGCACTTTGGAAGCTCTTTAAATCAATGTTGCGTTTCTGGTTTGTTGTTGGGTTTGGATTTTAGACTCTCTCTATACTGGGGGGAGATGGTGGTGGCCAATTTTAGCCTCCAGTGGAGTGCACATCCCGTTCAGAGGGGAACAGGCTCTGCCACAGGGACTCACTTGAGTTTTGGATTTTTTGGCAGTGGTTCTCTCCGGTTCCTCTGTGTCAGATGCTGTCTTTTCCCGCTGGCGCTTGGAACTCTTGAGAGGAGAAGATGCCTCTTCTTTTATCTTCTACCACAAAAGGAACAGACAGGAACAGTTTATTAGGGAAGTGACGCTAAATGGAGCACTTACTCACAATGGGAGGCTTCATACTGATGCTAACAACACAGGAAAGTTCCTATGGAGGCGGAAAGCTGATCAGAGGTTGATTCAGTCAGTATTTAATGGTAATTCAATATACCTCTTCCCCCATTCGAAGGGGAGGAGAGGGATCTGCGTTCTGGAGCTTCTGAGGCACTTGCCATCTGGTAGGAGCTGTTCCCCATAGGCGTTCATGTCCAAATTTAACTGGGGGCACAGAATGAAGCTACAGTTCTGCCTCGGAGGACAGCAAGCTGGGAGGCAGCTTGCAAGTAAGTCCCTCACAGCATTTCTTACACGGGCTAGTGGGAGTAAGTGGACAACCTCAACAGAACCCTTATCAAGACATTATTATTTTAAACTCAGATTTCTAAACAGGAATATATTTAAAAGGGAAAGTGCTGATCCTACCCCTTTGACCTATATTAAGGTCCAAATGACATAAGAAGTGCCATACAATTTGCCAGACTGGATCAGACCAAAGGTCTGTCTAATCCAATACCCTATGTCTGACAGTGGCCAGCACCAAAAGCTTCAGAGGAAGGTGCAAGAACCCTGCAGCAGGAAGATGTGGGGTAATCTGTGCCCCCATGAGACTGGATAAAGCCCTGAAATGTGAAGTTTTATATCCCTTCCAAACACTGTTTGTTAACATGAGCTGTAACATTCGATATTCTTGTTATCCATATAAATGTTCGATCGCTCAGAATCTGGCTAAGTTCTCAGTCTTGATATCATATGGAACTGAGTTCCACAGTCTGCTTACCATGTATGAAAAATATTTTTTATCAGTTTTCAACCTGCCACTTTTTAAATTTAATTTCACTCACTGTCCCCCTAGTTTGTGTGTTATGAGGCAAGAACAGGCGCTCCCAATCCTACCTTCTCTAGACTATTAGTTATGTTATATACTTTTATCATGCCCTCTCTCATTTGTCTCCTTTCTAAATCACAATCTTTCAGTCTCTCTCCAGCAGAGGTTTTTTTTTCTATGTCACTAATCATTCCTGTCAGGCTTCTCTGAATTCCCTCTAATTCCACAGTATCCTTTTGAGATAGGGTGATATTTCAGATGAGGAAGTATCACTGATATATATAATGGCATTATATTTATTGTATGATTCTACATCCCACTCCTCATGTCTCATAACACTGTTCGTTTGCTGACTGCAGGTATACACTGAACAGAGATCTTGGATGTGTTGTCTAAATTAATGCCCAAGTCCCTTTTCTGAGTTGACACAGTTAATTAAGAACTCTAAAGTGTACGACTACTTCAGATTCTCCCTCCAACATACGTTATTTTGCATTTATCAACAATGAATTTCAGCTATCATTGTGTTGCTCATTCACCTAGCGTGGTTAGTCCCTTTGAAGTTCCTCTTGACTAATTTTGTGCTGCCTGCAAATTCTGCCACCTTTCCCTCTCACCCACTTTTCCAGACTATAGATAAATATGGTAACCACCACCAGTCCTAGCATGGAACCTGAAGACACCCTGCTGTTAACCTTCTGCCATGATGAAAACTGACCACTTATTCCTTCTGTGTCCAGTATTTGGTTCATCACAATGCGGTGCTCTTCGCCCCAGGACGTCTTGATTTCTTTAGTAACTTCTTGTGAGGGTCTTTGTGCTTATTGGAAGTCTAAATTGTCAGGTGTGTGGGTATGGGTGTGCTTTCAGAACAACAGTACCAGAGGATGCCTAAGGCATTGGCTATTCACTTCTTTAGTATATAGTGTTTATTAAAAAAAAAATTTGCTCATCACCATCATGTGTCCGCCTGTATATATAGAACAGCTCTGATCACTGGAACAACAACTAGCAACATCTACTCTCAGATCCAAATCCCAGGCCTTCCGTACATGCCGGAAAGCAAAAATCCCCAGGTCAAACCTCGGTCTCTGGCCTGTGCGCCAAGCTCCTAAACTGAACTCACTGAACTAAAAACAGCCCAGATCCTGAACCAAGGACAACAAATCTCAAGCAACTTTTACCTTGGTGGACTTCTTCACAGAATCTGCTTTGCTGTCATTACTGGAGGTGCTAGCAGCACTGGGAGAGTTGCGGCCACTGGATCTGATGTCTTCGTTTGTGGGCGAGGCTCTACCATCGGGGCTGGCTGGCTGCTTTTTACGACCACTACGTAGTGTAGACATCTATCAATTTAATACAAATAAAAAGCATATAAATAAACCAGTATTTTCCCAAACCTTTTGCTTTTTCCCCAAGTTACTGCAAGGTTGCACGCTCCAGCTCAGTGCCTGAGAAATGAAAAACCAAGAGCATTAAATGTTTTTACAATCTGTCCTGGAAGGCTCATCTGGGTTTAAAATGAAAGGAGGCAAATCCTTAACTTGCCTACCCAAAATCATGAAGTGCTGCTTATTTTATTAAGTAGTGTCTGCTTGAAATGAGAACATTAGAAAGATGTTCCTACAGCTGCTGTTCACATGCTAGGCATCTCTTTCTAAGGGGGAGGGAAACCTCCCCACCCTAACGTTCCATCTTAAAAAAAAAATTAAAAATCTGCCGGCATAAACCAAGACGGATATGAGAGTGGCCTAAAGAGATAAGGCATTCAGGCAGCCCAGAGCAGTTCCTAAAACCACTAACAGCTTCAATGTGTTTCTGCTAGGCAATGAGAATCACAGTAGATGTTGTAGCAATAATTAATGCCGTTTCATCTGTTCCCTCCTAATTTAGCAGCTGTTTGGATGACTGGCTACCATAAAAATAATGGAGCCAACTTGAGCTGACAGCGCAACCTGACAAGGTATTCGGCAGCAACGACAACATTAACGTGACCAGAAAGGTGGAGAGGGGAGGCTAGTGAAAAAAGAAAGCTGTTACTTGTCTGACAGTCCCAATCAATCAGGGTTTACGGATGGCCAGCCCCAAACAAGCTGAAGTTTCCCCTCCAACCCTGTTGAGCAGTAAGTTGGCTCTCCACAAGTGACTCCACATCAGCAATGCTCTCAGCATATTACTGTGGGCAAAGCCCTTTGGGACAGAGTACCATACCTTTATGTCAAAGACTATGACTATTTTATATTTAGACGATGAGATTTTTAACTTCAGTGGCAGGGCGAAAACATTTGGTAAGCACAAAAAGCAGCAGCATTTAAACTTTTAAAATTCTTCCTTTAAAACGTGTCCCAGGGTTACCGCTGAAGGAACCCAAGAAGCAGGAAGACAGGTACCAGCGTGAATTCTGCTGCATATTCTGGCCATTTACCGTCTTTGATGATGGCAAGCTACCTTCATCCATTCAACAAAAAAAGAAGGACGTGTGTTTGGGACATTAAATATACACCAAGTTTGACTAGAACTCTCCAAGGAGAGCTACCTCGGGCCAATTTTTCAAAAAGACCTCCAAAATTCTGCACACATGCAACTGTACATTTGCTTCTACAAATATGGCAGGCACGCCCAAAAGCAGATTGGCAGGGAAGAGATTGTAAGTGTAGTTTTAGAAGCCTATTTGCAAACACGACTCTCTACGTTCGGAACTTTCCAACCTGCACCTTTCCTTCAGGGAGGAGCCTGAATGCACAGGTAACGAGGAGGGACGGGCCTACCGAGCCTCGACTCCGCCTCGTCCTCATGCTATGCTTTCCGCTGAGTCCATCCTCTTCCTCTTTGACGGGCTTAAACATAAAGGGCGGAGGGTCCACTGGTTTCTCGATGGGCGGGAGCTCTCCGTACTTCTTGAAGTGGATGCGGCAGTCAGTACACAGCAAGATGTTTTCGCGACCGCCGTGGTGCCAGTCCTTGGAGGCTTTTGTTGGAAAAGGGATGGGGTTGGAAATATACAATCTATTAGATATGGAACATCTACACTTTGCATTTAATACAAATTGGAAGACTCCCGGCCTTTACTGGTGACTAAGCCTAAGATTTCTCTGGAAATCATTGCCTGTTCCAGGCTGACTTCATGTTTCAGTTAACATTGACCATCCTCAATTACAGACTATTTCTTTAATTAAATAGACACCTGCTGCTTTGAAAAATAATAAAGGAAAAAAAGACTCTTCTGCAGCATTTGGGGAGTCTGTTTGGCAGCTATTCTTTCTTCAAGGTCTTGCTTTCTAAAAGTTAAATGCGTCATGAACATTTCATCTCTCCCTTCCCTTATTTACCTCCGGGCACTCAGCATGCACTCTATGCATATGCACAAGCATCAGAGGGTTTTCAGGAGTACTTACAGGAGTGAAGCTGATGCAGAAAAGCCTTGATGCGTCATGAACATGTGTTATGTATCTTGACAGTCACAGTCAAATACTGATTTGCTAAACAGTAAATGGATTATATAAGGGACGCTGTTTAGACATGTATGCATTACTGCATAAATGTCTAACTTCCAGGATCCTCTCCCATCACTGTAATACTAATTTGCAATGGTAAATCATGATTAACTCTCTGCTAGAATGGGGCATATTTTGGCTGATCCATCGTTATGTTTTTAGAATAGCTATACAAGCATGAGAACTGCTCTTGCTTGGATGAAACTGTGTTGAACAGACACTAGCACAAGGCAAAGAGATACATCAAGTGCATACTGGTTGTGAAGCAGTGACGACAGGCGTAACCCTTCAGTTCCTGTTCACTGTCCTCGCTGTCAAAATCATCTTCGCTGGCTGAGCTCAAGTCCACTGAGTAAGCAAAGAAAAGAAGGAAAAGGAAAAATTAGAAGAGACTTTTATTTTGCACTAGTTGACTGAATAACCATTTATGGTGAAAAATTCTAGCTGTGTTTCGGAGGTGCCATCTTTCACGTGAAACAAGGCTGATAGTCTCAGTAATTACCGGAAATTAAGTCTCAGGGCAATTTTCAAGAGTAAGGATGTTCACCTGAAGTTTCTGGCCAAATTCCACATCAGATATTAATATTCTAGAGACCTATATTCCACCCCTGAAGTTTCAACTGGACAAGAGATTTTTTTTTTTACGCATAGCATTGTTGTGTACTCAAACAGAACATGCATGTGTTTCTGCAACAAGGACTTCTCTTCAAACTAAATATTTGAACAATGTGTTCAAATGCTGTGTTCCACCCCAGAGATGGCTGAATTTCACAGGTGGGTGAAGAGATTCTTGTATAGAGTTTGGTAGTGTGTAAAGTGCTTTGCGATCCTTCTAGACAAAGGCACAACAAGAATCCAGTGCAATCATTCCTTAAAGGGTACATTTTATGATTGAATTACATTTTATTTATCGCAATTTTTTGGGAACTAAAGAGTATTGCAAGGACCAGTCACACTCCACTTGTGGTGAGTAGTCCATGTCAAGTCATTTGATCACAATGCCCATCAGCTGTAAAGCATAATTACCTAGTGAAAACTGCATTAGTGCAAGAATGCACACATTACATGTCACTGGAAAGAATCTGCATATTTGCAAGCAAAATCTGGCATCCTGCAGGATTCTCTAAAAAAGCACAGAGTGAATTCTTTATAGCTGAGGGCACTGCATTTTCTAGCTGCTTCCTACAAATTCACAAAGCAACACGTCAATGTGTTGTCACAAGCACAAGAACCCTGTCTCAAGAACCATTTTGATGCGTGACCTCATTTGTTCAAATCTTTAGTCTGAAGAGAAGTCCTTGTTGCAGGAACACATGCATGTTCTGTACCGGGAGTCCCTCTTCAGTAACTTCCATTAGCAGTCATCATCAGTCTATATACCCTTCTACAAACATACATGGTCCCATTTAACAACTTAAGTTACTGCAACAGTGGCCGCTAGCACTAATCACATTTTCCAACTTCAATTCCTTCAGGTGTTCAAAACGTGAATGCAAAATTCGCACATGGCCAAGATCTTTATTCTACTGAGTTAATTTTGGTCCTAATCCTGCAATTGGACCCAGGAGTTCAATTCACCTGAGTCCAACGGTAGGGTCAGGACCCTTCTTTCTAAAGCAAGAATAAAAGTGATTTTTTGGCACAAGGAAGTTAACCTCCCTCTCTTACAACTCCCCACTATATCCTCCCCCCTTTTCCATCCCAAAACCCCTACTTCAAATCATTTTGGTGACATTTCTGACTTTTTTTGGGGGGGTGGGGAGAGGGGTAATATGCTGGGCTTAGCCCATAAAAAGGTATTAAAACTTTAAGGGAATCTTTAGCCTTTTATACGATGATCTATTCCTTACAGCCATATTGAGATCAGTGGGGCCATAACACTTAGTGATGTGCTAGACTGCACTGGGCTCTGTAATTATTCTTTGAGCCAAAAGCACCTGAACAATCAAGATCATGGTGCTTCTAAGGCCACGTCTATACACAGAGTGCTGCAGCGGCACAGCTGGACTGATGCACCTGCAGCGCCTGTCTGGTGAAGACGCTCGATGCCGACGGGAAAGCTCTCCCATTGGCATAATAAAACCACCCCTGAGAGCGGCAGAAGCTCTGTTGCCAGGAGAAGCTCTCCCACCAACAGCGCTTGTGTGCACAGCGCTACGTCAGTGTAACTTATGTCGCTCGGGGAGGTGGTTTTTCACACCACAGAGCGACATAAATTATGCCGACAGAGTGTAGTGTAGACATAGCCTTAGATTTGTGAAAATATACCAATACTGACTATAACATGGCATGAGTTGTAATGAGCAGAAAGTATGGTCATGAAACACTGCTTGCAGAGGAAAGTTTGCTTTATTTCTCGCCTTTTCCAAGCGCTGTTCCTAGAATAATCCCAGGGAAAATGCAACACACACAAGCAACTATAACAAACAGGGAAATTTAGAGCCTGGTCAAAGTCTCCATCCTTACACTGGGCTTCTGTGCCTAAGCGCTGCATTGCACATGGTACAAAACATCCCTTGCTATACTCAGGCATAATGGTGTGGGAACAGGAGAAGCCAAGAGCCTGAACTCCATTTTCTTGCTTTATTCAGCTGAAGGCAGAGAGCCACTACAATACTGCAGTTCTATGCATCTAAACAAAGATAAATGCGCTGCTTTTAGCCTCCACTTACAGAATTCGCTAGAGGGGGGCCTGGAGGGAGTGTTGACTGGAGTGGAAGCAGTTCGAGTCTTAATTCTCCGAAACACAGCCTGCCTTCGATGCCTACGGTGGGCTCGGGAACTTGCTGCTTCAGGGGTTTTCTTCCAATAGTAATAGAAAGTGATTAGTTCTCCCTGTAAACACAGAAGGAATATGTTAGAGGGGCATGCACAGCTGACTTGTCAGCCCTTTTCTCTTTCCCTCTCACACATGCGCACACACACAATAAAAAGCTTAAGGGTATATTTTCAGCCAGACAAATTCCCTTGGATAGAAGAGCAAGATATTTCTGGGGAAGCAAATTTCACAGAAGTAAAAGAGTGTGTGTGTGCGTGCGTGTGTGTGTGTGTGTGTGTGCTCCAGCCACCACTTTCATACTGCATGAAGTGCGGGTATTGGTGCTTCAGCAGGGGGCGCTCTTTACTTTGAGTCAGCCGTATATCAATACCTCTGCAAAGAGTTAGTAGGCACTGTACTGCTAGAGGTACCAGCTCTCCAATGAGTTGTAAAAGCCATGTCCTGGCTAAAGATGGTCTTTAAAGAACCCTGGCACTTTCAGTGAGAGTGGGATCAGTTCAAATAGATGATATCCTGCCCACCTTAATACGCCCCATGCATTAAATACACTCCTGTTTGAAAAGCTGAATGTTAGAATAAAAACATGATTGAGAATAAGCGGTATCCGTATTATTCAAACATATTAAAGCAAACCAAACTTTAATCTGAATATATATGCCCACATCTAAGTTAATTAGGCAGGTAAAAGAGCACACCCAGGGAAGCTAGTGATAATTCCATAGCATAATGAATCTGGCTTACATTCAAAAACCTAGAGCAGATGACATTCACACTAGTGGATGAGATGCTAAGCTAAAGAACAGCATGTGGTTTTAATCTCCATTCTTTTACTTTGAAACCCCCATCATTTCCTGGTTTCAGAGTGGTAGCCGCGTTAGTGTATCAGCAAAAAGAACAAGGAGTACATTTTCTGGCGACTTGTCTGCCTCTAAGGTAAAAGGTGGTGTTTCTATCAAGTTGCCAGAGAAACGGAGAAGTTCTAACTAGTCCCTTGAAAATCAACATCAGAACAAACATGCCTAAACTGCCCACAAAAAATGGTCTCTTTGAACTGCCTTATATGTGATTTAATCACATAACCTCAGCCTACTCTCTCTCTCTCTCTCTCTCTCTCTCTCTCGAGGGCCAAATCCTGCAGTCTTTACTCAGCATAGATCACTTTAGTTAACTCTGTACTAAAGACACCTTCCTCAGTCAAACAGCATTGCAAACAGTGACAAGACACATGGAAGATCCTATTAAAAAAGTTACAGACGCTCCCTGACTTACGCAAGCGTTCCGTTCCGGAACGCCTTGCATAACTCGGGAACGTATACCCGACCATTATGCAAACCAAACCAAAAAACCAAACCAAAAAACCCCAAAAAAACCAAAAAAAAAAAAAAAAATAACTTTCTAGCTTACGGAACTTTTTCCGTAAGTGCCGATTTGCGTAAGTCAGGTTTGCGTAACCCGAGGAGCGTCTATCTGACACCACTTAAGGATTTTAAAGATGCCTAACTTAAAATAGAGAACTCTGGATGAAGTACACAACCACAACTTTGATTTTGGATAGCAGACAGAACGGATGTATTGTTATGAACTGATAGCGAGTGTGATACCCATGCCCAACCAATTTCAGAGTGACACTTTGTGTGAGAGAGAGAAAAAAAATCATCTACATCCCTAGATTAGGTAGGATACAAGAATCCTCATGAAAAAAAAAAAACAACTACTCATTTTTCCAGAGTTTCCAAAAGTGAAGTAGGCAGGTATCATCATCATCATTCAATACCAAAGGGTAAATATAGTGACTCAGGGCTTATCTAGACTTGGAACACTACAGCAACACAGCTGTACTGCTGTTGCATTTCAGTATAGACCCTACCTACACCAACGGGAGGGGTTCTGCCATCTGGGGCGGTGGATCCACCTCCCCAAGAGGTGGGAGCTCGGTCCATGGAAGAATTCTTTCGTGTACCTAGCGTTGTCTACATTGGGGGATAGATCATCTTAACTATATCACTTGGGGGGTGGATTTTTCACACCCCTGAGCGATGTAGCTGGGTCAACCTAATTTTTTAGTGTAGATCAGGCCTCAGGAACTGCGAGTTAGCCAAGAGCACGGAATAAGGGCTGGCCTACACTGGAGTCTTACATTGGCACGGCAACACCTCCAGGGTCTGAAAAAGCCACACCCAAGAGACATGGCTATGCTGACCTATCCCCTGGTGTAGACAAGCGCTAGGTGGACAGAAGAGTTCTTTCAGTGAAGTACACAACCACAACTTTGATTTTGGATAGCAGACAGAACGGCTGTATTATGTCATGTCATATTTCAGTGGGCCCGGAGGTGGAAGAGGATGAGCAGGCAAGAGTGCCATCTCTTCACACTGTCTCCTCAATCTCTTCTGGGCTCACAAATGAAGAGATGTCAGCTCGGTTACCTGGGCAGCCCAAACTTTCCTTCCGGAGTGGGAAGCTAGGTACATAGGGGCACTCTGGGGTCTGCCCAAGTTACTGAGCTGCCATCCCTCCTTCTAGAACAGAAAGCAAGGTTCAGGGATCCTCCTGGCACCAGGGACACCTTCAAGAATCTGGACCTGGATCCCCACTCTGGGAAGAGAGGATAGCTGAGTAACCCAGGGTACCAAGCCACCATCTTTCCTTCTGGAGCAGGGAGCCTGATCCAGGGTCCCTGCTCCAGAAGGAAAGATGGTGGCTTTTGTTTTTTAGGATTTGAACACTGATGTGCACAAACACACATGCGTGTGTGTCTATCTTCCACAACACTACCTTACTTGACCAGACAGTCTCGCATTTACACGGAGACTAATTTATTAACAAACACATCTACTAATGCAATGGATTGGATTTTCTTAAAATAATCAGTATTTTTATGTAATTGAGTGGTAAAAATTTTGGGGGGAAATTGGTAAAAAGCAGAATAGCTTTTGTAAAACCCTGAAATATTTTTGATAAAAATGAGTAACAACCAGAAATGAAGGGCACTGGCCATTAAACAAAGATCCTTTGAAAACTAAACCTGCCTGTATTCGTGGGTAAAGCCCACATCAGAAACATACGTCTGATTCCAAACGGACCCTTCCAAACTTGCAGTCAAAAATCTGTACGAAGACTCAAATTTTAATATTATTAATGAAATAGACTCACTCAGCCAAGACTAAAGAAATGGGTGATCACAAGAGTTAATCAAATATAGTTAGGATTCATTTCTGGAGCTTCAGATACATGACCGACTAAATGACTCAACCTTCAGTCACAGCCACAGGGTTAAAAATCAACGAGGAAGTACCTAAGTAGGATTTTAATATTATTCACCCTATGGAACATAAGCACACAAATTCCAACCCAGGTTTTATTAGCTGCCTTGCCATCAAATACTATTCTGTCTACCTAAGGGATTAAATGATGGAGTGGAGTGAATCTGGGAGGATTAGGAATCGCATTTTGGTGACTGCATGGGTGGCAGGGGCTTGGCACAAACAAAAGAACATGTCACGGAAAGCTTTGGTCTACAAACAGAGAGCGAAACGGCTCCCGGCTTCACCACGAGTGAAGTCAATTGAACTTTAATCAAACATGCATAGTGTGTGCTGCCGAAACCCATTGCACATAAATTTAGGGAACAAAAGCTGTTGCAGGAATCAATAGCCTACTGAAACATTAACACAGGCAATCATTGATCAAAAGGCCCCTTTACAAAAGGCTGCCTTGCAAATTAGCTGCTGTTTTTGCTTGCAAGCAAACATGGGAGCGTAAACGCTGCCGACATGAATGGCCTGTAATGATCATTTTGTTCCTGGTGATCTCACCTCATCTCAGAGCAAGGTCTTGCAGTCAACACATCTTACATCTCTGTACTATAATTGCTAACAGCATGATGAACTGAGCTGGTTTGGTGCCTGGGCACTGAGGGGAGGAGGGAAGAGGGAAAGAAGGTTCTTCTGAATCCACAGTGTTCTGGGCAGTAGCACTAGCCCAGGGAAATGCTCCTAACCAATCAGCCTATATTTAGTCTATTTTTAAAACCCTTTTCATGCCAGGAGTTGGATGTTCCTAGCAACAGATGCACTGAAATCATCCAAGATCAGATCAATCCTGTTTTAGTTCTGTCCTTGGGTAGTGGCTCTGGTGGGAACGCATTCCCCTCCTGCCATTTTTTTTTATTAGCAAACAGGAGTAATTTCCCCCCAAATCTCCAAAATTAAAGACAAATAATAATAAATTAAATTAAGAGGCATGATAAAAAGCTGAGGTCGGCTCTGTGGCTAACAAGAAAAGAGGGATACACTGCTGGGAAAGTCAAGCTCCACGTGCCATTTGAGAACAGATCAGCTGTCATGTCCTTCCGCAACCCAGCATTACTGATAGTGCTGCACAAGCTATTTGTAATTATTAGAAGGTTGTCTTCTTGGCATGAGGCACCGTTCTCTCCTCTGCCACCATTTCCCTCCCCTGCCCTCCTGTGTTCTGCTGCAACTCAAGCAAGCCCTCTGACAGACAATAAAAACACTGGGGCAGGCATTATTAACTACTCCAACCCTTAACAATCGAACACGAAAGTAGTAAGTGCTGCATACCTCCAGTTTCTCATTTATTGTGATTTGCAAATGTTAAGTACATGAAACTGTATGTGCCATGCATCAGTGTGACTGTGTGTGAGACAAGAGACACATTACAGTTGCACTGAAGAAACCACTAGAGGACTGGCAAATCTATTACTTAATGGAGCTGATGTTCTACTAAGTGGAGCAAAAAGGCATTTCATGCATTTGGTTATAAATGATGGGGTAGCGTTCAGATCAGCTGTTGCCTAACAAAGGTGGTGTTCTCCTATGTGTTTCTCCTTGTTTCACACAGCCATCAGCGGAGTACTACCTGTCGCAGCAGTTCCATTACGTTCAGCTCAGACTCACAAGTCCACCAGCAGCTTTGTGGGTTGTGCTTGATCTTTATTTTTCCAACAACACAAAATACACGAGTGGCTCGTTCCTGTAGCACTTTCTGACTATCTATTTTGTCTCATTTACCAACTCCCGCACGTGTAAGGAAG